GGGGGGTGCTGTGGGTGAGGCTGGTGTGTCCTGGGGTTTGTTGTTGCGGGTTTGTTGGGGGTAGAGGGATGCTGATGGAGCTCGTGTGTCCGTGGTTGTTGCGGTTTAAAAAAAGGGGGTTTGCGGGTCGGCGAGTCCTCGCTCAGGCTCTTCACCAATCAATTCGCTGCAGAGCACCCGACACGCACACACACACACACACACACACACAAACACGCACACACGCACACACACATACACTCTATCTCTCTCTCACACATACACACATTCACACACATGTACACATAGACACATCCGTGCGAGCACACACACTTACATACACACACTCACACACACACACACACACACACACACACAACATAGACATGTACACAACCACACCACCAGGTCATGGCCAAGGCGCCCCTGTACTACAAGCAGGCCATAGAGCATGCGGAGAGCGAGTGGTCACAGCACCACGCCAAGCGCCTCATAGACACAAAGACAAAGGGCCTGCGCGGCAGCGTGCCCCCGGGGTTCCCCTACTTCTACGTGCAGGCACGTGCATTAAGAGTGCCGCATGGGCCGGCTGAGTCAGCGCGTTTGCTGCAAGCCCATGCTGACTGGATTGCACGACTGTGGGGTCAAAAGTGCGCCGGCTAAGGGACTGGCAAGAATGGGCTGCTACGCGCGGCGCGGCGCAGGCGCGTTGCAGCATGCCAGTCCCCACGGGCCCAGCCTTGCGGTGGCGGCGCGGCCCTGCGCTCCCCGTTTGCCATGTAGCGTCGTTCGGCGCGCCGCCTGCTCTGTGAATGACGCGTTTGTCCCGTCTCCCTCAAACCCTCAAACATCGCAGTTTGGCTACAGCGCGGGCTACCTCCATGTGATTGATGACGAGAGCACCTTTGACCGCGAATTCGGTGGGTGCCGGCCTCTCACATCTTACACTCATTCCAAAGGCCCCACCGTCGTGGCTCTGGGCGCTTTCCCCGCCCGCAGCCGGCGCCCCGGCGGCGCTGCGCCGCGGGTGTCGGGCAGGCGGGGAGGGCAGGCGTCGGTTTGGCCGCCAATCGGTCGAGCGGCCAAGGTCTGCTTGGGTGCCTTGTCCTATCTCGTCTTGCAGCGTGGAACCACTATCCTAGGGCGGTTTTGCCAAGCGGCGACCTTTACCTTGGCACCAGAGCCCCCTCACAAACCTCACACCAAACCCATCCCCGCGCCCGCCGACCCCGGCCCCTGACCCGCGCCCTCTCAGGCCGCCAGGTGGCTGTCGGGCTGCTGCGGCTGCCGGCAGAGGAGATGCACCGCAGGCAGCGCGCGGAGCCTCAGGTAGGGCTCTGCTCTGGCAACACTCTGCCTCCCACCCCCACCCCCAGGCTGTTGCTCCTTGGCTGTTGCCTGGCTGCAGCGTGCAGACAACCCCTGCCATTCACTCGCCCAATAGGCCGGCCTCAAGGGCAACGCCTGCTGACGCCTCCCCAACACACACACACACACTCTCTCTTACACACGCGCACACACATCCAAACACACACACACACACACACACACACACACACACACACGCTGCAGGCGGCGCAGGAGCGCGCGGCGGCGCAGTTCCGCGCCGCCTTTGACAAGTACGACTGGACCAAGGCCCTCGCAGGCTGATGTGGCGGTAGCCTGCGCCTGGACTGTCACTTTCGGCACCACGTCTTTGTGCGCGTTGCAGTTGCTCGGATCTCTTGCGTCATGGGCTGCAGGCGGGAGTTTGTTGACCGCCGTTGCCGGCTGCCCGCAGCTGCAGTTTTTGTGCACCGCGCTGATGTGCCGCGCTCATCCATCAAACGTAACAGTCTGAGCGGTCAATCTGCTTGTGGGATTTATTTACAGGCGCAAAGGACAGCAGTTGCAACATGGGCAATCCCACGTTCAGGGACTGTGATCGCCGTATTTCTCATGCAAAGCGTCGAGTCACATAAGCACTAGAAAAACCCAGGCAGCAACACGCGGGTGTCACGCCTCAGCAGAAGAGCCATTAGCAACGGCCCAACGTGTGTGGATTGGTGCAGCCCGAGGACCGGCCCCGCTTGATTGAATGGGCGATAACTCAAATTGCAGCTTGTGCGGCCATAAGGCAGGACAAGGCCCAGGCTGCACCTCTACAGGATGGATTATAGCCCTGAGGCGCAGCAACAGAGGGGTGCCCCTGGCCTTGGTAGGATTTAGGTGGCCGGTACTTGTGCATTATTCGTGGTTTTCAGAGCAGGCACGCTTGTGTGCCGTTGGGAGAGAGTACACAATTGAAGCGCGGCCCGCCAAGCACGGCTGCATCAGCCGGCCGAACCGCGTGCTTGAGGAGGATACCTGAGAACGCCCGCACTGGCAGGCGTGCGGCGGCAGCCTCACGGTTCTATGCCATGGCGGCATCAGGCACCCAGCCGGAAGGAGCCGGCCAGGGAGCGAGGGCACCTGTCAACAGCAGGCTTCAAAAGCCCCCTGTGATGTCACTGGGCTGCTTGGTCGCTGGGCAGCCGGTCTGTGCTGTCAAACACAGACGGATTTCGCTCACGACAACAGTCCAACCTTCAAATCCTCTGGTATGCATGGCCAAAAGCACCCAAAATAAAGAGATCGATGGACCGCAGACAACCAGACCCATCCCGATCGTGCTCGGCCCAGGCTCCCAGATCACAAATTGAGGTCACACCTCATTGTCTGCGCCTGCCAAGAACTTTGCCGCGCCGCCGCCGGCGGCCGCACCCGCCCCCTGATCCTTCGCCGTGTGCCCAGCCTTGGGGTCGGCGCCCCCGTCCCCCTGCTGCCCCTTCGGCTTCCCCTTGCTGTCGGCGCTGACTCCGCCGACCGGATTCGCAGCCGCCCCCTCGCAGCCGTTTGCCGCCTCCAGCTGGCGGGCTGCTAGGTCCCGCTGCTTTGCGGCGCACACCATGCTGCGTGGCAGGCGAGGGGCACAGTGAGAGGGCGGCCAAGCTGAACATCAGCACACGCGCGTTGGGGTGGTGATAGCGCTGCCCATGCCAACCCGGCGCATGCGACACACCCCGCGGCGCCGAAACGGGTGGCTGCGCAGCAGGCGCGGGGGGTGTTGCGCGTGCTGACTGTGCATGCTGGCTGTGCATGGAAACTGCAGCACAACCAATCTCGGGGCTGCAGCTGAGGGAGAGGGGGCTCACGTGACGTATTTGCTGATGGCGAGGTACGCTTCTGCCACAATGCTGTCCAGAGGAATGTCTGTATTTGGCAGGCAGAGGCGATGCGGAGGGGGGCGGGGTTTTGTGGGAGCCGCAACAGCGAGGGACGCTGCGGCAGGCCAAGGGGAGTTTGACAAGCGGGCGTCATCAGTCACGCTTGAGGTGGTTTGAACGGAAGATCAAAGGGGGAGCTATATAGCTCCACCCCCTTATTCAGGGGTGGAAGATTCAAGGGATGGTGAGGGAGGTGGTTGGGTGGCAGATCAGGCGGGGTGACATTCGCCTGACCAAAGTGATACATTAGGGTTGGCGAGCAGGGGAATGGGTTGGGGGGTGGCAGGGGGGCGGGCACACATGCAGGTGGGCGGGGTGTGGGTGCTGCCTGGGGATTTGTGTGGACGGCTGTATGTGGTTTTAGAGCTTGCAGAGGCTGCTGGAAAGGTGGCACAGTGGAAGGCAGCGCAGACGTTGCCTGGCACCATGGAAGCTCACAGCGGCAGGAGATAATAAAGCACAAACGAAAAAGTTTGCAAATGGCAAAAGCACGTGTCTGGTTGGGTGGCATTTGGTCAATAGGCCCTCACTTCCAAAAAAATCCCTGTCATCGCCTTGCAGGTCATATCTTGTAATAGCATCAGGATGGAGGCAAGGCGCATGCCTGCACGGCCTGTCGCGGCAAGTATGCCCATCCAGACAACGCCCGCGCAGTGTAGTGCGCTTGCCGCGCGGCCCACCGTTGAAGTCGCGCCCGAACGGCTGCTCGACTTCCACTGCCGCCTCCTCCACCCCAATGATGCCATAACCGATGACGAGGCACAGGGGCATGGCATACCACTGGTAGTAGATCACGTAAACCTGCCCAGGGGGTTCACAGTCCGCAGGGTTTGGTTCATGTTCTGTGAATTCAGGGGGTTGCCGTCCATTTTGTTAGGGCTGTTGTGCATTCCAGACGGGAGTGGACTGGAGGGGGGGCAGTCGACGAGGACTGCGGTGCGCGCGACAAGGTCAAGAGCGCGCCGCTGCGCCCGTGCCTTAGGCTCGTCAACGTCATGGTGTATCCGTCCAGGGTGGCACACGGCTATTGCTGCTGGAATTATTTATGCGACAATCCGGCCTGCATGCCAGGCCCCAGCAGGACCCGGCCCGTGCAGCAGCAAGCGCATCAAGGGGCAGCAGCCGGGGCCGCACAAATGCACGCCTTGCCACGTGGTCGCTGGCGCCGGCGGCCGGGCAGGGCCGCGGCGCTCACCCATGGCACGCAGGCCAGCCACAACGCCAGGAAGGTCCTCAGGTGGGATATGTACTGTTGGATTGTTGAAGAGGCGGGGACGAGGCGGGCGCACAAGATGAGTATAGGGGCGGTTGAGGTCACGGATAGTGCAATGGCAGCGAGGGAGGTAGAGGTGACCTTAGGGTCCAGCTTGATGGGCCAGTGACCGCTGCAAGGGTCATCCCATTACGTCCGGGATCTGTCTGTTCTGGCACTTCTGCTGCTGATGCTACTGGCACGTTGTCTAAAACGCGTGTGCGACTGTGAGTGTGAATGAGTGTGCGTGTGCGTGCGCGTGCGCGTGCATGCGTGCGTGCTGGCGTGTGCGTCGGTGTGCGTGCGCGTGTGCGTGTGTGCGTGTGTGCGTGTGTGTGTGTGTGTGTGTGTGTGTGTGTGTGTGTGTGTGTGTGTGTGTGTGTGTGTGTGTGTGTGTGCGCACCTGCGCGCATGCAAGCTGGAATTTGGGGGTGGCTTGGCTCACCGCAAATGGTATTGGTGTGGTGTAGACGTTGACGCACGCACAGAACTGCAGTGACGCGATGAAGAGGAGACGACGCTGCAGTTCTCCGGGGTGTGGCAAGACTCAGGCCGGGACGGCCCCGCAATGGAGGCTGCCAGCCACCTTGTGTCAACCCTGCGTGACTGTGTGTGGGAGACAGCCTCCAGGCCGCCCTCTCCCCCATGCGGAGGAGCACCCACTGTACACGGCCAACACGAAACATCATGTGCGCGCAGACCACTTTTTAATCATCCTGCCCACCTCCATGTACATTGTGTCGCAAAACCTCATCCAGTCGCTGCTCTTGTCCGCGATGTACTTCCTCTCCATGTGCATGACATTGTAAATGCAGTACAGCACCTGATGGAACGGGTGACGGGTGACAGGTGACGCCGCAGGTTGACTACGCCTCCAACCAGCACGCTGGGCAATCAGCGCCCCTCCGTCGCTGCATAATGCCCGGTTGGTTTGCATCTTGGGTTGCATAATATAACCCTCAGCAAGCAAGCTGCACTCATGCTGGTGCGAGTTCACGCCCAACTTCACGCCTCCTCACCGGGTCCCTGTCAGCGTGGAGCACCTCGACCTCCTCTGGTGGCAGCAGGTCCAGGAGGTTCTGCTGGTTCCGCTCGTCACGCAGGTGCTGCCGCCCCACCTGTTTTGTTGAAAGGTGACCAACAGGTTGTTGAGCTTATGACGGTGTTTTCTGCAAGAGCGCAGGCTGTAACTACGTGTGCATCATGGTCAAGGGGCCCCCGCCATCTGCCGATCTATGCAGCAGCAGCAGCGCTACCCCTACCCCTAGATTGAAGCATCCCCAAGTGGGCCAAGCCCAAAACATCCGTTCATGTTGGCGCGAGCCTCGCTACATTCCCCACCGCACGCATGCCCATCTGCATGCAAATGCACATGTACACACACGCACGAAAGCACGCACGCACACATCATACGCACACACACAACACGTCACGTGCGCTGAACAGCCAAAGGCATGCAATCAAACACACACGACCCCCTCTTAGCAGACAAACACACTGGCAAAGCACAAAAACAATGGAACACGACAGCTAACGTGTTCGGTTTTACCTCCAGCGCCACCATCAGCCAGTTCAGCCGTGTCAGAACCAGATCAAACGCCGCCTCCCTGCCCCCCAGCGCGATGAAGCTGGGAAGGTGGCCCGACAGCACACGCGCCAGGTTGTTACCCGGAAGGGGCGCCATTTGGTGTGGCAGTGCAATTAGCACAGCGTGACACGGCCGCATTTCAGCCTGGGGCGGCACCCGCACCGACGTACAAATGCGAGCTGCTAGCGCTGGCGGTTTCGCCAAGCCAAAGCAGTGCTCGTCAGGCGCGGTTGATTGTCATGCATGCAGGGGCGCAACCCCTGCAGGCGGCGACGACGGCTGCAACGGCTGCGCCTGGCCAGGGGCTGAGTGTGCGGCTTCACCATGTGACAGAAGTTCTTGAAACGGTCCGTGCCTGTCTGCCACCGATTGAATGCCGCAATGTTCCTGCAGAAAGAGGTGCAGGGTGTGACAGATAGTTAGCTGTTTGTTCTTGGGCGACCTGCATATGAAGGGATGAGTGTGGCTCCGCAATGAAATGTGTTCATCTGAGTTACGTCGCCAGGTCCACACTGTGCCCACAACCCAGGTTCTGCACACCAGAAGTGATAGATTTACTGCATGCGCCTCTGTTGTTACTGCTGCTCCTGCCAATGCGTATGCTGCAGCCTCTGTCACTGCCGCTGCCTCTGCCTCTACCGCTTCCGCTGCTGCTGTTTGAACTGCATATGATCCTGCTGCTGCTGCTGCTGCTGCTGCTGCTGCTGCTGCTGCTGCTGCTGCTGCTGCTGCTGCTGCTGCTGCTGCTGCTGCTGCTGCTGCTGCTGCAGCTGCTGCTGCTGCCGTTGATGTTGCTGCTGCTGTTGTAATCGCGGCCGACGCCAGCCTGTCTGCAAGCAACTCCTCTCTAGGGTTAGCAGCCTTGCATCGTCAGGCCCCTGCACGGCTGCAGGTGCCGCCCCGTCCTCTGGCTGTCTGCTCGAGGGCCCCTGCCCAGTTTTGTATCAAGCCCGCTGCGTACCACTTCTGCTGCCAACAATGCCGTGGAGCGCATGCCGCGCGGGTTCACATGCGTGATTGCAGCGCGCTCGACGCACTTGCACATACGACCGTGCGCATGCATGTGCACACGTGAGCATGCAGCTGCGCCACACCTGAATGAGAGCAGCAGGAACAGCGCCACCCCTACAGTCGTCGTGACAGACGACAGCTGCCGCAGTCTGTCCTCCTGCACATCGTTGTGGATGACAACAACGGGGCGTGGCAGTGAAACGGCGCACTTGCATCGGCTGCGGCCACCCCTCGCCACGCGCGCCCTGTGCCGCGCGCACGCGCATGGTGCCGCGCCGTCTGGGGTTGCATGCAGGCTTGATTCCCATCATAACCTCCGATGTATCAGTATATTGGCCCGAAAGTGTGCATATGTTGGCATCGTTTCCCGCGTCCGCACCTTCACCCCATCAGCGATGAGCGTGTTGATGCCGCAGACGGCGCAAATGTAGACGACGTACACCAGCAGCGGCAGCCACGGCACCGCACGGCCGCGCAGGCTGCAGAGCGACACCTGCGCGCTCGCGGGGACGAGCGTGCCAGTCCTGAGCACCTTGTCATGCGGCTGCAGGCTGCGTCGGGCGGCGCCCCTGTAGTAACCGCAAACACCAGTGCTTTTGGGGCTGGAGGATGCTCGCCCCCAGGGAGGCTTTGCTGACCACCCTCTAGCGCCACCCCACCTTTCAGTACGAGTTGCGGAAGCAGAGCCAGCCAGGCTTGCCCCTTTCCTTGAGCAGCAGCTGCGTGCCCTGCGGCACGGGTGCATGTATGGCGGAGCAGGCGCTTGACGCGCCACGTATGCGAGCTCTTTGAGGGCTCCACGCAGCCAAGCGGTGGCAAAGCAACATGGGTGGGTGTCGGCGGCCCGCGGGCGGCGCGTTTGGGGGGTGCAGTGAGGGGTGGATGGAGGGCGTCACACGCGCCCACGAAGACCGACGTATCCTGCTGATGCCGCTGCGCACGCGTTGGCCCTTCATCTAATAAGGAATGCCACTCACCAGTGACTGGGGCGGCGCCTGTGATAGATAGA